AGGGCAGAGTTTCTGCTTCTTAGGTGTTTCCCCAGTACCTAAAATGAGTGGCACATAGTAGCTATTGAATCAATATTCCTATGTTCTGAGTAGATGGGCATTTATACTAGAGGACTCTCAGGTCTTTTCCAGACATAAGAATCAAAGATATATATATATATATATATATATATATATATATATATATATATATATATATATCTCCCTAATATGTAAATAGACTGAATGTAGGGAACAACCAAACAACCAGTTGCTATGACGTGCACTGACCACCAGGGGCGTGCACAGAACATGGCAGGCATCGGCTGCAGCGGATGATGGAGCGGGTGAGCAGGTGCACCAGACCAATGATGGTCACTGTCATTGGGGCGAGCCTCTGGTGGTTACTGAAAATTATTTTCTTCCATGCGCCATGGTCCCGCCAGGTACTTCCACCTGCTGCCAGAGCTGGTCCTGTTTGCATGTGTTGCCTGCACTGGAACCGCCTCTTGCACCAGCTGCCAGTACCTGGCATCACCCCGATTGCTCTGTACCGTCGGTGGGTATTAATGTCACCTGCCAGCCCTGATTGCCCCTCAGGGCTTTTCCACCTCCCCTTGCTCCTGAGGGGTGATTGGGGCCGACAGCCACCACTCACACTCACTGCTGGCGCCTGGCACTGATCCTGATCACTTGGCGCCTTCAGTGGGTGCAAGTGGTGGCTACCAGCCACAATCACTCCTGAGGGCTTCTCCATCTTCCCCTACTCCTGAGGGGCCATCAGGGCAGTAGCTGCTGCTTGCACCCAGTGATGGCACTGGCCCCAATCGCTCCACGCCATCAGCGGGTGCGAGTGGGGCCGTCGCTGTCAGTGCATGGGAGCAGCAGCAGCAGGAGCAGGGCTGTTGGCAGATGGGGGGGAGGGGGAGGGGCTAGGGGTTGTGGAGGATGGGTTGAGACCCGCCCCTGTGCCCACCTCAGCCTTGCAGCCCACAGTTCCTTTCAAGGTGCACAAATTCATGCACTGGACCCCTAGTTTTATTATGATAGGCCAAACTAGTTTTTCCGATTTTCTATGAAGAAAGCAAAAATTGAGCATGCATTTTGATAAACAGCAGAGAGAGCGGGAGAGGAGGAAGGATGGAAGAAAGGAGAGGGAATAATATAAGAATTTTGTATACATTCCTATGAAGGGAAGCTCAGTTATGACAAGGTGACTTATGTAAAAAAGGAAGTGTACAGTATCAGGAAACTCATAGGCAGTGCACTGAGAGTCACGGTACAACCGCACCCTTACCTTGCTACGTTTCCTCCTTACCTGCTCTCCGTAAGCTTCCCTTCCTCTCAGAGGCCTCTCTTCATTCTGGTGGCCAATCTGTTCTTCCCAGGGTCCCTTTTCAGTATGAGTAAGAAAGCATTGCTCAGCGAACCTCGGCCCCCCCCCCACCCCCCCCTTATCTCCAGACTTGTCTGAGAGGACGTCTTCAGTGCTGAGGTGTGCATGGGGCCAGGCTTACCTCTTCCACAGCCTCTTCCCTGAAGCCCTTGCTTAACTTCTATCAGAAAAGGTCTCCAAAAATTCTCATTCTGTTCTTCCAGATAGCATTGTCACCTAACAATCTTCTTTTCTACAGAAGTCTTATGAATCCTGGTTAGGCTGCTAAGTAACTCAAACACAAGGTTATTCACATCTTACAGGAAATTTTCAAAGCTGGACACAATTTAAGTATCTTTCCAGTTTTATAGGGGAATCAAACTTACCCGGCTCTTTGCAAAACACATTTTAAATAAATTAATACAATTTTTGTGCTCAGTTATGATACTTATGAAGCTGTGAACATACAATAAGGTAAAATCAGATGAATATCTCAGCAATCTACAACATTTAGCACTAGTTAGGTTATCAACACTGTCCAGAATTTCAGAAAAATTTTTTTTCTAGGTCAATTTTTCCTTAGGCCATGTCTCCTAGTGTGAGGCTATCATATCTCTCTTTTCTACAATTAAGAAATACGTCAATGAGTTTTAAAGAGTAAATGTACTAATGAAGTATAATCAACATTATCTCTCTCAACATGGCCTTTACAACTTTACTGAACAATAAAACATGACTCAGCGTGTTCATTCATTTGTTTACTCATTGTTATATTCCTAACACCCCAAACACTGCCTATCAGTTAAATGAATGAATAAAAGAATATTTACTATGTACCTCTTATGTGCCACATACTGTGCCTAGCTTCCATGAATTGCAGTATAGAAGAGATGTTAGACAAAAGTTATATAATGATTTAATTGCTATTATGATAAAAAGTTATAAAGAAAAATAAACAATGAAAATAGGACTTTCACTGCTAATATGTAAAAAAAAGATTTTCGGAGGAACAAGCATTTAAGCCAGCATCTAAAAAAAAAAAAAAAAAAGGCCAGAATTTAGGAACAGGAGAATAAAGAGGAAAACAATTTCACACAGACGAAACATGTGTAAGATGCTGAGGAAGCTAGGGGTGTACTGTCTTCCAAGAACTGAAGATACGTCCTGGCTGATCTGCCTCGGTGTTGGAGTATCAGCCTGTGGTCTGAAGGGCTGTGGGTTTGATTCTGGTCAACCAATGGATGTGTCTCTCTCACACTGATGTTTCTTTCTGTCTCTTCCCTTGCATCCAGTCTCTCTAAAAATCAATGGGAAAAAATATCTTCAGATAAGAATTAACAACAATAACAAAAAAGAACTGACGACAGACCAGAGGGAACAGTTCAAGATGAGGCTGGACTGAAAAGCTGAGCTCAGGCCATGATGGGGCCTTGTAGACCACATTATGGATTTTGGATTTCATACCAAATTGCAGTCAAAACAAAGGAATGATTGTCATATTTACATTTTATATATACACTAGAAGCCTGGTGCACAGATTTGTGCACTAGAGGGGTCCCTCTGCCTGGCCTGTGGGGATCAGGCTGAAACCAGCTCTCCAACATCTCCTGAGGGGTCCCCGGATTGGGAGAGGATGCAGGCCAGGTTGAGGAACCGTACTGGTGCATAATCAGAGCAGAAGAGGGACCATGGAAGAGCTCCAGGGTGTGTTTAGCCCTTCTCAACCAGTCCCAACCAGCCAGACTCCAGCAGCAAAGCTAACCTATTGATCGGAGCATCTGCCTCCTGGTGGTCAGTGTGTGTCATAGCTACCGGTTGGATGGTCACTTAGGCTTTTATGTATATAGATTTTTTATTTTTTTCTTTACTATAGAAAGGCAGAGAGAGGGTGTAGAAACATCAATGATAGGAGAGAATCACTGATTGGCTGCCTCCTGCATGTCCCTTACTGGGGATCGAGTCCGCAACTCAGGCATGTGCCCTGACCAGGAATCAAGCTGTGACCTCCTGGTTCATAGGTGATGCTCAAACACTAAGCCGTGCCCGCTGGGCCATACTTGCATTTTAAAACTATCACTCTGGCTGCTGACGGAGATGGATTAGAGGGAAGCAAGAGGGAAGCAGGAAGACCAGTGATGGGGAGAGCACAGCACTATAGGTAGGAGATGATGTTGTCTCTGACTAGGGAAGCTACTGTGGCTTCTACTTAGGACGTACATTTCTGAATAGGGTAACTGACTGAGTTATGGAAGATGAGAGAAAGAGGGGTTCCACTCACTGGCCAACCAGGTGGGTGATGGTTGCCCTTACTTAGATGGGGAACAGGTTTGTGGGGGGAGTGGCAAATCAAAAGTTTGGTGTGAGACATGTTCAAGAAATGATGTCTACATTGCCTAACTGGACCTCATCAGCAGGATTTGGGAAAGATACAAATTTACAGCCTTTAGCCAGTTAATGGCACTTGAAGCTATGGGGACAAATGAGATTGCCCAGACATAATGAAGAGTGAGAAGAGAAGAAACATATATCTTTGAAATATCCAGAACTGCCATAATATGAAAAGTTGAAATTGACTGCAAATTTCTGAAATCCTTCATATGTAAGCAATTATTTGATTAAACCATGGAAATTTCTGCTGGGAAATACAATATCAGTACATTAGTATCAGATAAATTCACATACCTGAATTGACACAAAAGTTCAGTTTAGGTTATTTTCAGACCACAAGTACATACCATATGTTTAAAATCCCACTGATCCCTGCTTAACGGTCTGATAAGAGCTGGAATTAATATACTTCAGTGGTAATTTCTGTAGGCATTATGCTAAAAACATCATGCATAAATAAAGGACAGCCAGATGGTGATGTGATATTTTGACATGGGCTACAGGCATTTAGTTGTGTTGATTTGCAAGCTTACAAGTAAACACACTGTTAGGAAATAGCGTGCAAGCTGTCAGCTAGCAACATGGACCTGTCCCTGGCTTCCTCTGGCCGCATGGCCTTGGTTCCCTTCTCCTGATTAGAAGTGAGCAAAGGTCAAGACATACCTAAGTAAATACAAAGAGAAGTGATTTTTGCACAGTATCTCACGCTTTATTACCAGCTTCTAATGTTTTTCTCATAACGCGAGTAGCTATTAACAGAAAAGTGTTTGTTTTTATATTTCTACATAAAGCTTCAAAGACACAACCAGGATACCTCTATTCAGTACCTCTTTTTCCTGACGAAGGCTTAAGTATACACTAATTAAAATCTCTGGGATCTTAGTTATGTCAATATTTCTCTAACTGAAAGGACTCTTAAATGAAAATGTTTTCTTTTTATTGTTTTATTTACCTCAGGTTCTAAGACATACAAGAAATTATAGTTTTCCCTCAAATTATACAATATACACGGATTATAAAAATACTGAAAATTAAATAAAATAATTAAAAATTGAGTTAAATACATAACCGCATGTGATAAATTTAGGAACTGAAAGCAATAACAGAACACAAGAAAAAAACTGCTTAAATAAAACCCTAAATTTCTTAAAACAACAAGATCTGTTATTTATTAGCTAAAAGACAATAACTTCTTTTTTGGTGGCTATTAAAACTGTTGCATTTGCAGAGGACTTCTAGGGCAGTGAAGCTGCTCTGTTACAGTGGTGGGTACATGTCCTTATGCAAGTCAAAACCCACAGAACATTCAAGAGTGAACCCTAATGTAAACTATGGACACAGGGTGATAACGATGTGTTAATATAGGTGCTTTTTTTCTTTTTTAGTTTGCTTAAAATATATTTTATTGATTTTTTTACAGAGAAGGGAGAGGGATAGAGAGTTAGAAACATCGACCAGCTGCCTCCTACACACCCCGTACTGGGGATGTGCCCGCAACCAATGTACATGCCCTTGACCGGAATCCAACCTGGGACCTTTCAGTCCCCGTGCCAACCTCTATCCACTGAGCCAAACCGGTTTTGGCAAGGTGCATTAGTTTTAACAGACGTCCCACTCTGGTGCAAGATGCTGTGCATATATGGGAGCAGAAATTACAAGGGAATCTCTGTACTTTCCTCTCAACTCTGGTGTGACCCTAGAACTGCTCTACAAAATAAAGTCTATTAAAAATATTTTCAGCCCTGACTGGTGTGGCTAAGTTGTTTGGAACATCATCCTTGTACCAAGGATTGTGGGTTCTGCTCCTGGTCAGGGCATATACTCGGGTTGTGGGTTCAATCCGGGTCAGGGCACATACAGGAGGCAACCAATCAGTATTTTTTTCTCTCTCTTCCTCGCCCTTCACCTCTCTCTAAAACCAATTTTTTAAAAAAATGTTCCTCAGATGAGGATTTTAAAAAATTATTTAAAATTTTTTTCCCCAATTGTTGCCATTTGTCACAAAGATTCAAAAGACTACCACACAAAGTGATTTATCTTCAAAGTCCATGTGAGTATTGATCAATACGCCACTTTTCACAAATCTAAAACATAAATATTTTAACATGCACAGAGACTTGACACCACCACTGCTGCTGTGTAAACTCTAAGCAGGAGGAGCAAAGGGCATGTAAAGTATGTACATCTTACAGTTTGAGGCAAGGTAATACCTAGGATAAGGAAAATAAGTGTTTCCTTGGGCAAATCTTAATAAGATACACAGAACATAAGAACTGGAATAAGGAGGGCATGCTTAAGCTATAGCAAAGTACACTTCTGGCCTAAAATATCACCATCTATATCTTGGCATGTGTAGGACAAAGTTAGAAAGAAAATGAAAGACCATGAACACAGAGCACGTGGTCTACTCATTAGCAAAAATAAAATAAAATTTTCCAAGATCAAGGGCAGCCTTATTTATTTCTCCAAAGAGCTGCTCTTTTGGGCCAATGTGCACGGCCAACTAAACTGAAATTATCCACACACACTGAGTTCTAATGAGTACCTGAGAGACACTGCAATAGAAATTATTTGCTACATGATATTATCAGGTATGGTTATTTTAAAAAATGGAAAAATACTCTAATGCTGTGAATTATAGAATAAGTAATTTATATTTAAAAGAGCTAAAAACAAGAGATTATCATAAAACTAGAGGTCTGGTACACGAAATTCATGCATGGGGGGGTGTGTCCCTCAGCCCAACCAGTACCCTCTCTAATCTGGGACCCAATGAGGGATGTCCATCCAACTGCCTGTTTAGGCCCGATCCAGGTAGGCTCGGGCCTAAACGGGCAGTCGGACATCCCTCTCACAATCCAGGACTGCTGGCTCCCAACTGCTCACCTGCCTGCCTTCCTGATTGCCCCTAACCACTTTTACCTGCCAGCCTGATCACCCCATAACCACTCCCCTGCCAGGCTGAATGCCCCTAATTTTCCTCCCCTGCAGACCTGGTCACCCCTAACTGCCCTCCCCTGAAGGCCTGATCACCCCTAACTGCCCACCCCTGCAGGCCTGGTCACCCCTAACTGCCCTCTCTTGCAAGCCTGGTCACCCCTATTTGCCTGCCTCTGCAGGTCTAGTACCATCCAACTGCCCTCCCCTGCTGGCCATCTTGTGGCAGCCATCTTGTGTCTACATGGGGGCAGGATCTTGGACCACATAGGGGCAGCTATCTTGTGTGTTGGGTGATGGTCAATTTGCATATTACTCTTTTATTATATAGGATACTGATTTTGCTATTTAAGTTCATTTAATTCTGCTAATTAGATGGGCTATATGCATAATCATCTTATTTCAACTCCTAATAAAGCAAGGAGTAAAATATTTGATAGAAAAAGACAGCAAAATGTGTGTATACTGGGTTTCCAATTAATCTTTAACCTCTCGTGTTTTCATTATTCTTACCAAAATGTAGTTGTCTATATCTGACATTTCTTGGAGACAAACTAACAATGTGATACCTTGCGGATAGGAAATTATAAACACAGGGCACAAACTTCCCCAGGAGTTTAAGAAGATCAATTCATTTTTTTTGCTTTCTGGGAGAAAATATGTAGCAAAAAGTAAACAATAAAGTCAAGGTATAACCAGTAATAATTAGCACTGAAACAGTCAATAGTAAAGTCTTCTAAATGTCTAACAGTCCTAACAAGAATGATATGGTAGATTTTGAATATCTAGGTAAACCTTTAAAAACAAAACAAAACAAAACAAAACCCTATAAACATAATTTGGCTGTAACTAGCCATGGTTGATACCCACATTGGTTTTATAATTTATTTCGTTGCCCTATTAATACAACTCTTTTATTTCATTGTCTATTTGGCACAGTTTTTAAACAGTTCCTTTACTTTGGATACCTGATGCAATTCATACCATGTTTTATCACGTTTAGTTTTCTAACAGATCCTTTATGTACTATAATTATGACCTCCATAAAAGACTTAAGAAATGTATTGATTTGCCTCTTCTTATTGGTAGCAGATTGAAATCTTAAGTCTTCTAAAATAATGTCCAATTCTTCACCAAGTAACGTGTGAAGTCTTCAAGATGGATTTAATTTGTGCCACTGGATAACAACCTTTTCTGGATTTGTAATTGTCTCTTTCCACTGGTTTTTTGCTTCAATGTTATTACTGTCTTCACTTATCCAAATCTGTAAAGGAACAATACAACCATTTACTTAACACAGTAACGATGAGTTCAGTCAATTACTTTTATTGATGAAAAACAATGGAAAATTTAGTTAACATATTTTCAATTAAACATCTCTCCACTTTTCCAAAAGTTTTATTTCTCTCTTTGAAACTTAAATGTGAAAATATTTAACCTTTTAAGTCACTCTGAGGACTATTTTGTATGATCCAATTCGATTTAAAAATTTAATGTGAGATATTACATAATAATTTTCCCCAAAATAATGAGTATCCTTTCTTATTCAATAAATCTAGGAGCTCAACTTAAAACTGATCCCAGTCACTCAAAAAAATTTTGTAAAGATTAATTCGGACTATTGATTTAAATTAGATTGATAAGGAATGTGCATTTTCAAGCACTGTATCTGTTATATAAAACTAATTTTGCCGAAACTGGTTTGGCTCAGCAGTAGAGCGTCGGACTGCGGACTGAAAGGTCCCAGGTTCGATTCTGGTCAAGGGCATGTACCTTGGTTGCTGGCATATCCCCGGTAGGGGGTGTGCAAGAGGCAGCTGGTCGATGTTTCTCTCTTATCGACGTTTCTAGCTCTCTATCTCTCTCCCTTCCTCTCTGTAAAAATCAATAAAATATATTTAAAAAAAAACACTGTAATTTTAATTGAAATCTAATCATTAGTCATTCTTTGATCCACCATAAACAATTTCATAATAATCCACAGTAAACAGTAGTCTTCACTTATGTAATATCAGATAATAGATGCGATGAATTTGGGAAAACTGTAAAGCATTATGTAAAGCATCATGGAGGTAAGGTGGGCAAGGAATGAAAAAACCTGAATTTTCACCTCAGCTCTACCACTAACAAATGCTGCTGCTTTGAAATTAACTTCTCTGAGACTCAGTTTCTAATTCTTTTAAATAAAAACATTAGCACAGTTCACCCATTGGTTTCAGGACTTGAATGTTTCCCTTTCATTTCATGATCTGAAGAACTTTCCTTCACATAAAATCTTACAAAAACAACCCCGATATAAAAACATATTATGTAAGAGTGCTCTTGACTCCACGTTTGGCTTCTCCATCATGGTGGCTCCCAAAACTACTGGAGAAGCTACAGGGAACAGAGGGCCAGCAAGAACCTTTCCAGAATTCTTATTCTTAACTAGAATCTCAACCAAGAAACTAGAATTAGCAAAAAAGTTTTCTGAAAATCATCTGTCAAATAAATCTCCTATTCCCTTCGTACATGGTAGTTGAGGCTTGATGATAAAGGAAAACTTTAACTGAATTCACTTCATGGGTCTTATGGCTTTGAGAAGTATGCTAGTTGTAAGAATTCTCAAGTTTAAGCTTTTTGAATAAGAAAAAGTGAGGAACAAAACTATAATTTTAAAACAAATATTGTAGGTAAAATATATGAAGTAAATCAAAGAGTTAATATCAATCTTTGAAAATTCACATATAACTTTAGGATTTCATGTAAACTGCTAGTCACATCTTGTCAAATGGAAGCTTTTAAACCAATAATATAGATTTAGGAATTTAAATATGAGTCGCATGATTATAATTAAGGTAGAACACAATAGACAGCTCCCACTGATCCACTCAGAGTACGGTAAAGAACAAAATGATAAAAAGAAGTTCCTAAAGGATTGGCAAGCAGGCAAGTGCTATGTTGTTTTAGACAAGTTACTGAGAATTTTTAAGTAGATTTACCCAGAAGCCCATATTGACTATCTAAATTAGGGGTGTCGAACTCAATCAGAGAAGGGGCCAAAATCTAAAATCCAGCCTAAATCACGGGCCGAATGGTTTACTGAACAGTCATAAACTGTCATTGTGATGGAAACGCAGCGGAGTGCAGTGATGACAGCGCGGTGTGGGCCACATTGCAAGGCCTGGCAGGACGGATTTGGCCCGCGGGCCTTGTGTTTGACACATGTGATCTAAATAATATCACAACCACTATTAAAATTGATGTTTTCTACAATTCAAATCTAACATATTTCAGTTAATAGCAGACAGAGGTAAACATTAAGTTGAACATGAAACAGAATAAAGATGAATAGCTGAAGCCTTGAGAAATTTAATTAAAGTGTTCCCTCTTCATAAGGAATGAGCATTACTGAAAAAACTCATCGTTCTCATACTTTTTAAAGTTGAAAAGCTCAAAAAAATACTTATTTCCCCCTTTAAAAATGTAAAGTTCATTTAGAAAAAAAGTCTTATATTAAGATAAGCTGACTACTCAGAAATTCCATCTACTAAAATTAAAGCAAAAATTGTGATAAAATTTAATTTTTGAGGCAACATTTAATTTTAATTTATGATGCCAAAGAATTGTACTCTATTAAACTTCCATTTTATCCTATATTCTTTTTATTAACCAACTGTTTAAATGCATAGAAAAGTGCAAGGGAAGAATTCAAGATAAAAACTCGTACTAACCTGCCCCACGAAGTGTCTTCTTCTCACAGAACTTCGACTATAAAGCTTAACGAGAAAAAC